ATTATCTCTTTACTGCACAAAGAGTAAATATTACCCAGTATTTTTAATTAAAAATCATTTCATGACTGTGTGATTTTAAATAACTAGTTAAGATTAATTTCTCTTTTGGGTACAAGGAAAATGCACAATTATTTAAGAAATTTGTGAAGGTGGCAGGAAAGGTGATTTCAGAAGTTTCAAAGTGAAGAGTCCAATTCCTATTTATATGGCATAATTGAACCAGTGTAATATGACAATGCATATTGTATGTCTTCTGTTACCATGTTCCATGGAACACTGAAGAATAATTGCAGACAAAAACTGAATATCATGGGAAAAAAGAGAATCAACCCTCTGAATTCAGGTCAATTTCATTTTGCTCTTTCAGAAATTATGGATAATCATTGTTATCTGATCAGTCCAACAGTAAGAGTATTAAAAAATAATTTCGCATCTTTTAACTACTTCATCTATTTAACAAAAATTTTAAAGCATGATCAGTCTGATGAGCAGAGGATTACATGAATATGTAATAGTCAACAAAGTTATATAAGGCCTTTCACCCATGTGTATTGTATATATTAGATCCTGGAACTTAAATTAAAATATTCATAGTTCACTGGAGAGAAATTAAAAATTTATTAACTTAGATATTTGGGGAAAATATGTAATCAGAGAAATGAGAAAGATGCAGTCTGGCTTGGGAATGAATTGCTGAGAGGTGAAGGTAAGGAGGAGGTGCCCAAAGCATAACTCCCATGACACACTGTGGTGGCACTTCTAACTGCACTTGTTGCTCTCTCATATAGAAGGGTTCTAGTAAAAGGAAAAAAATAAAACAGAAACTGAAATTAGGAGTAAGAGTGAAGATTGTTTTCCTATGGCCTTTTTCATCCAAGTTGACTTTTCTTAAACAATTTCCAAACTGTTATATATATGTCCAAAAAGTTTGTGTTTTCAGTTGTTTTAACTGTTGGTGTGTAGATGCATACGTGCTGTGTTTGTTTTATAGTAAAGGAAATACAGAATCTGTCTTTTCATTACAACCTAAGAGAATCTCAAAGTTCTGGAAATTTAATGGCCGTGTTTTAATGGAAAAAAAATTAATTCAAAAGACGAAATGATACTTCAGATTATTCTGGTGAAATGGTATTTTTAAATTTTCTGTGATTTGAGAATCATGATTCCCCAGGGTGCTGAGATGTTGTTGCTGTTTAAAACCTCAGAGCATGAAGAAAAAATCCTCTACCATACATGTAGACCTCGTGTAGAGGTTACACAGAATGTCACTTTCACAGTTTAAGGCCCCAGAACTTTCAAACACAAAGGGTGAGCTCATTAGTCATCCAAAAAGTTTCTGCTGTTTTGTAGCTCCTTACAAAATGTTGTAGAAATTTGTTGCATATTAAGAAATATTTTTGATTCAGATAATAATGCTTATGTGTTTGAGATTTTTTTTCTACAGCAGTAAATTCTTTAGCATTACTCAGTTGACTTCTGAAGGTTCCCTTAAAGTGTATGACCTCATAAATCTAAAAAATTGAGGATACTTAATGTTTTACTTTAAAATGATGGTGCACTATATCTCCCCTTTACCTTTGAATTCTATTCTGATATCCCTTGCAGCACAGGTGGTCTCTGGGGCTTTCAGCAGTTGAACACACTATAAATTTTTGAGCATTACTGTCCTGACCAAAAAATTCTAGACCTATTTTTAAGCTCAGAGAAAGAGATGCTGAGAACTCACAATGCCAGCTTCACTGTCTGACTATGTTAATGATTTAAATGTACTTTGAATACCCTCTCCTGTCTGCCCTGTTACTTTGCTTGAGCTTGTCCCTTGACCCAAAATGATAGAAATTGAGTCATTAGTTTTCTGCCCAGCATATTAACCTAAACTGCTGATAGTCAAACTGTTGTAGGAGCAAAGGAGCTTAATCACCACAACTAAATTCAAATTTGAAATTGTGAGTGAGCTTGCTGTTCAAAATTTTGTCTTGCTGACCACCCCCCAGAATTCAGATTCCTCTTGAAGTTTTCATACTTCTAGAACTACTTCTAGGTTTGGCTAAAAAACATAAAAAGTTCTTAGACTTTTTCAATATATATATATATATATATATAAATATATTTAATGACAGGATTGAACATCTTGAACTGCTTTCTATTCATTGCCACTGTGTTTATTTCCATTTCAAAGGCATAAGACTGCTACATGGAACACTGAGAATTCCTTATAATAATCTCCACTTCTGTCTACTCCAGGATCATTAGCAGAATGATTCTTTCTTTCTCTTTGGTGATTAAAGCTTTTGTGTTTGGTGTTATCCATGTGTTTTGGTAGTTTTATGACAAAATAAATAGAGGTTCATCTATCTGTTCTTCCATGAATCTGCCATTTGTGTGATCGTTTCATTATCTTCAGATGCCTTGCAGCTGTAAATTGATCTGATTTATGGGCCTGGACAGGCCATCTAAATCACACATTGAGGGTAAGTAAAGATAAACTGAATTTCCCAAACCAGCTGACACTAATGAATAGTTATAAATATTCTCTTTAGTTAGGAATGTTTAAAGAGAGAGAGACAGAGAAACAGATCTGCCAAGAGGTTGTGTTTTTTCCTTGTAAAAGCTTCTCTAAATCACATTTCGCACTAGGAGAAATGTGATATGAAGATGACTTGAGGAAATCAAAGTGATTTAGGGAATTAATTGTTGAAAGGTTTAAAATTCATATCATGCAGTTCTTTGTGAAGTAGTACAAGGTACAGATATAGGAAAGAGGTAGAAAATGTAAATAAAGGAGCCTCTGAGAAACAGAAGATAGTTGAGTTCTATCAAGAAAAAAATGTAATTGTCCAAGCGCAGTTGTGCCTGATCCGGGGGACATGAAGATAATATGTCAAGGATAGCATGGTCAGAAAGCAAAGATTTTCAGCACTGAAGTTTCTGCCTTGACAGTTTCCAAGAAAAAAAAAGTGAAAACAGAGCAATGAAAAAAAGATTATGGCTCATAACATACCATACATTTATCCTCTGAAATCACTAGTAATTATTAACTCAGAAAAAAAAAAAGAAAAAGAAGCAACAATTAGGTGATCAGAGATTTTAATGGCAGGATAAATGGAAATTACTCTCTTCCTGGCAAAAAAAGTAAAATTCATTCCTTTAAATTCCACTTACATAAGAATATGGGTAATTAGACTATTGAAGAAATCTGTGACAGGCAGTAGGCACTAGAAAATATCTATGAAATATGATTCTCATTCATAGAGCTTTCTGGACTCTTGAACACCCACAGAGAAAAATCAACTGCAGATTGGTCTTTCTACATCATAGAAATAATAGAAAATAGGACTAGAGGGAAGTGTGAGTGGCTAGCTAATCTAACCTCAGTGCTAAGGCAGATGAGTGACAGCTGAAACTTTCTGGTAGACTAGCACAGGCCATACAATGTACTAAATGTGTTCTGGGGATTTTGTTTGTTTGTTTTTAATTTCTCTCCCAGTAGTACAGAAAGATGTACTATATGCAAAAAATGTGTTCTTAAAACAGCTAGTACCATGGCAATGCACTGAACTTCATTTCTGTGTGTATTTATTTGACCATAAACCAAAACAACATTTAAATTTAAATTCTGTTGTGCTGCAAAAGTTGTTTAAATGAAGAAAGAATTCAATTAATTAAACTTTTCTTGCCAAGTGTTCTTCATGGCAGAATTTTGAAAATTCTGTGTGTTTTCTTTTTCTGCGACACCTATTCAGTCACAGAGGGTGCAGGAAGAAAGCAACGCTCGTCTTTGCTCTTTGCATTTTAAAGGAACCTTTCTGCGGTAAAGAGCACGTCCACGACAGAAGAATCTACTCTCGGAGTGTGTTCCTGCCTACGTGTGCCATGTGTATCTGCCCTTAAATGTATTCAAAGGGACCAAAATGTTCCGTATTGTGGTATCTGCATTCAACATATGGAGCATTTGTGTGTATCTGGAGGGGAAAAAAAAGGAAAAAAAAACCAACCAAAAAAACCCTAAACCAAACCACACAAAACAAAAAAAATACCCACAACAAAAGCAGTAGCGCAATGGAGGCTGACGCCAGTCTTCAGCTTTACGGTTTTATACCCACACGTTAGAGATTACCCTGCCCTCACCTTCGGGTCATTTCCCTGGGCTTTACGGCTCATCTGCTGAGAGCTGGACGGCAGGAGAGCCCGGCTCCGGGGCTCGCACGGAGGGCTGGGCGTGCGGTAGAGAGACGGGGGACCCCGCGCCCCCCAGCACGCTCCCCCTTCCGAGGTAGGGCGCGCCCGCCCCGCCGCCGCCCTGCCTCCGCCTGGGGTCCCTGCTCTGACCTCCGGGTGCTCTGCACGGAGCCTGTTCTGTGCGGGTCGTTGAGGAGGGATACCTAGTGTAAAAATCAGCCGGGAAAAGTGCATCTTGAGAGAAACGTCTCCTAGGAGCGCTCACTCTCTTGAAACCGCAGCGAGTGGTTGTGGCAAGCGCTCTTCAGAAGTAATAGGGTCGGGTATCGTGATTTTTTGTTCATCTATGACTGACTCTATCAAGTGACTTTCCATGCAACACCCCTGCCCATGGTCAGGGTTATATCCCTACCGTACCCCATGTCACACGTTCCCTGCACATTCCCGTTTTAGCACCCCTGCCCATCAGCAGTGTGCGATTCTCTCCCTGGTTGTTTCCCTTGCCATCGGGAAAGGTTCTACAGATAAAAGACAAAGCGCATCAGGCGTCAACCGAACGAGGACCGCCCCTGGCCCCGCGCCGGGGGACCGAGCACCCGAGGAAACTTTTTCTTTTTTTTTTTTTTTTTTTTTTTTTTTGTTAATAATAGAAAAATTAAATGGGGACCGTTCCAGACCACAGGATAGTTCCCTTTCGGGAAAAGCCCGCGCGGGGCGCGCCCCGCGGCGGTGGGTGCGGGGGCTCGCCGTGCGTCAGGCACAGAGTGGCGTCAGCGGAGAAGGGGCAGCGGGAGGGGGCACGGGGTATGGGGGGAGGAGGGAGGGATCTTCGTCAGGAGGCGACGGCGGCACCGCTGTGACATCACCCCGCGGCTTATATAGTTGGGGAAGGGTCTGTGTCCCCCGTCTGGTGCCTGCAGCCGCCCGACAGCACGCGTGCGGAGGGCGTGGAGCGGCGGGGCTCTCTCTGTCTCTCTCTGTCTCTCTCTCTCTCTCTCCGTCTCTCCTCAGGATTTATGGACTTTACTTTCTAGAGGGCGGCGCGGCAAGGATGAGAGTCCAGCTAGTGTGCGTGGTGCTGCTGGCCCTGGCCTCCTGCAGCCTCTGCTCAGGTAAGTCCCCGCCACCGCTCTGCACCGGGTCCGACCGGGCGCGCCCCGCACCGCCCGTCCCCGAAGTCCCCCGACCACTCGGCACTGAGTCGCTCCCGGAGCTGTAAGAGAGACCTAAAGAAAAGAGGTGAAGTCGCTTCGGGCTCCCCCAGCTGTCCCCGGTAGGCGCCCGGGAGCTGTCTCTAGTAACGGGCTCCGGCCAGCATCATGTTTTGTATTACTCCCGTAACTTTCTCCCTTCATATAACCCCTTCCTTCTCACGGCATCCATGTCATGGAAGTAACTGTAGACTAGTCATTGGAAATACAAATCAGTGTAGACCATCTGCTTGGTTGTGCTACCTCATTCGTGGTTCATTGAATATCATGTATTTCAAATTATGATAGAACTTATGATTTCTGCAACTCATGAATAGCTGCTGTAATCCAAATCAACATGAATATGTATACACTTTTGTCACTTTTTAGAGAGAGAAATACAGTTTTATTATGTGGGGAAAAAATTGCTAGCAATTGATCTGAAATTTTGATCAAAAAATGCTGAAGCAGATGCAGATCACAAAATAGGAAGGTCAATGTAAATACATTTCTTCTCCAAGAGTAACTGCTTTAGAAACTCAAAAGGAGTTAAAATGCATCGCCTGCTCCTTTGGAAAATGATATCTCTGAATATGTACCATTTATATCCCAAATTTATGACAAAAAATGGGTACACACAGGTGTACAGACAGACAGGAAGCAGAATAGCCTTAAAAATACACTCTTAACTAACTTTTGAATTACTTTGATTTTTAACTCCACAAAATTTAGTGAGCAAATTTACAAACATCTTCACTTTTCAACTTCAGTATTCAGGAGGACTCAGAAATCCTAATTCTTCCTTTAGCTGAAAGTTTTCAATTTGTATTCCCTGCAGAAGAAAAATGTAACACACGTAATACCTGCATTTTATCACAGTTTAAATATAATCATTCTGTATATTGTAGAGAACTGGTGATCTTAGCGACAAGGGTTACCATTGATTTTTTTCTCCCCATTTATTTGAAGATTTTAAACAAATTCTTCTAGTATTTTCAATGAGGCAGTTTCAAATTTAATTCTTTGTAGAGCCTAAATGAAAGCCCATTAACGTAAAAAATTTCAGTGGAAAGTAAAATAGGTTCATAAAAGAAAAAATCAAAAGCAGAAGCAAAATCGTATGTGTAAATAACATTGATGGTTTATTTGCTTGAAAATTTGAAATTATTTTTAATGAGAAATGCTACAGAGAAGTTTGTGTGAAGGAGCCTAAATCAGTTTTAACTAAAATGGTCAGTTATGTCAAGTGATGGTTAATTTGCTTCTGAAAACGTTTGCTATCAATGTGTAACTGTAGAATGTAACTGTTCCTGTAAAATATGAATATATGAATAGAAACTATTTTTCTTGTCAGTGGAATCAAGAAGACATCAAACTGTTTGGATTTCCCTCTGATTTGAGTGATAATGCATGACCAGACTTCTTATACATTGCTCTCTGAGACCCTGTTGCTTTTATGCTTTTGCTCCTTGTCCACCTCTTTCACTCCTGAATTACCTGGACGTGCTTCCTTCTCTTCCTCCAAGCCTTCCTTTATTATTCATTCAAAGAATTTTGGCTAGACTCCTAAATAATGTCCCCTAAGCCTCTTTTCTCAATCCAAATACTTCTTAATACCTACCCACTTTCCACAGCTGCAACTACCTTCCAACCTTAATGGTGTGGAAGCTATCTTACATCCTTTATAGAATATAAAAACCAGGTGTTAATCAGACACAAGCCCTTTTACTGCTCTCAGCAGGCATGACCTGGGACACCACAAATCATGATGCTGTCATTGTGTGTCCTGCTCACCTGTTCACAGCAGTTGCTAACATTGGTAGAAATTCAACCGAGGTGATCTCATGCTGCCAGCCGAAATTTGGGTAGTGGCGAAGCAATTAAGAAGTCAGGTAAAACTGACAACCATTGCTGCTGGAAGGAAGAAAAAGGCATTAAGTTGGAGAATAGTTGCTAGTGACTTGCCATAATACTGATCTACAACTAGTCTTATTTAATATGAAAATGTTAAATATTAAATAAGACTGGTTGTAGATTAGTATTACAGCAAGTTACATCAATGCAATAACTTCAATGCAAAAAATAATGAATGAATGTATTGTGTTGGTAATGCAGAGGTGAGCAGGAGCATCCTTAGAGAGGAGTGGGATATGCGTAACTCACAGAAGTTTTTGATGACCTAAATAATTGAACTGAGAAGCAGTGCAACAATACAAAATGCAGTAGCTTACGGAATAATACAAATTCCTGTTAAAAGCTCCTTTTAATCAAAGCACAGCCAGTTCTGAGGAAATAAAAGACTTGATCATATTATCTAATCTCTTTTTTTTTTATGTGTGTGTGTGAGATACTGAAGTTTTTCAGCCATGAAAAACAAATAAAATACAAAAATATGTAAGAGAGCTATCCTCTGTAGCTAGTGGTAAGCATTAAGGTTGTTAAGTGTTGAGGTTTCTGATTCAAACTGTACTGTGCTCTCTTGAGAACACATCAGGCACAGAGGAGGGCTGGTCTGATGAGCTGGAGAATACAAGGCTATCACAAGAGAGAAAAATAAGTGAGAGTCCCATAACTCGGGGCATAGTCTTTCAGTGAAACATTTATGGGATTTCCAGGGGAATGCTTTATGTTCAAAAAGGCATAGTGATCTTGCAGTGGTCTTTGCTGATCATCGTGTAAGCACTCACCAAAAATCTAAGCTGGGAAGAGCTGTGATTCCTCTGAAAAAATATTACAAATAGAAATTTATCATTTTTAGTGTATGAATTTATATACATACCATGAATAAATTTGTAATTAGAAATAAATTAGGCTTGGAATTAAAAGAAAGTGAATAAACATTGATAGTTCTGAAAAATTTCCTGAAGAAGAAACACAGTGATGGTAGTGGTAAGATCTATCAAGATTGAACATGATTGATTTCTAAGAGCATAAAAATGGCTTCTCTGCTAACAGAAACCTGTGACAGATTAGCACACATTTGTGTATAAAGTCCCTTACAATCTCATATTCTGGGAAGTGTAGTGACACAACATGGTGATGATCTCTGAAATGAAGTCATAGACAGAATCTATACCCAGATTCAGTGGTAGGTTGTTACATACCAACAGCATTGACCATTTTAATGAAAGTGAGATGTGAGTTATATAAATATGGAATAGATTGTCGTTTAGTTTGGTTTGAAATATTAGTGTATTGTTTGGCTTTAGGGCTGCTAGTATTCCAGGAAAGCTAAAAGCTATATGAAACACTGTTTCACTTAAAGACTGAGGACTGATTTCTGCATATTTCTGCTTTTTGAGCTGTGATTGCTACTACATTTTCAAGGCACCAGATCTTCATTGTGATTCTTTACAGCACAAAGTAGAAATGTATGTGTCTGTTTTCTCTTTGTACAACAATTTTACCCTTTTCACCAATTCACAGGTCTTTGAGTCTACTGAGCTATCAAAGATCAATTAAATCAGTAAAGAAAATCTGAAGACTGTCACACAGAATGTTTTGGTTTTGTATGTACACTGTCAAGATCTTGTATCACAAACTGGTCAAGCTCAATTCCCTCATATCAATAAAAATAGCCTTAATTCAACTCAGAATAAACAAGACTATTGATTACTAATCAGGTAATCATTACTGCCATTCACCTAAATGCTTAGCTGCTACTTAAATAAATATTATTTAAAAATAAATATGCAAATTCTTCTTCCAAAGTAAGAAGAGGTAACAAATTATTATTATGAAAATCAAAATGATTTTGAATGAAGAATATTGCAGCAGGTTTTTTTTACTGAAAGGACTCCACTGTAATGGCCTGTCCACCATTGAATTGAGATTAGTGAACTGTTTCATTCACCCCAATAAGCTTGACCGTGCTTTTTAACATTTAGCATTTTTAACATAATGTTGTCATTACCTGAAGACTCTTCACCATCCCTCTAGGTCATTTTGCTGTGGTTTTATCTAGGTTGTGTTTGTTTTTCAAAATTCATTGGTATAAGTTCTGTATACTGAATTGAAATGTCCATGATTTGTGATCAAATAATAAACATATGTTTCTGGTTTATTCCCAGATTCAGAAGAGGAAATGAAAGCATTAGAAGCAGATTTATTGACCAATATGTACACATCAAAGGTAATTATTTTTCCTCTTTTAGCTGATGGGGAGGGAGCAAAAGAATTCTCATTACAAACCCAGAAGTCTTTGGACAAAATAATAACCTGTGGTCTAGACCAAGAAGTTCAGTGTTAGGTTTTACTTTGGTGCAAGATTTCCTCCAGTTCAAAGGAAATTTAAAGGTGTTGATGTGACACAATAAATGTGTTCCTCACATGTACACTGGTACTTTCATTAAACTGTCAAAACTGTGTTATGTGCAGAGATGTAAATTTATATGAGGAAATGTGTTTCCAATATGATTATGCCTGATGAAAGCTAAATTAACCTTGAGTCAAATCTGTAAGTGTTATTTTCATGCAGAACTTTTCCTATATACATATAAAATTAGGACAGTCGTAAAGCAAAAATTGTTAATACATATGCTGATTTTGATTTAAGAATTTAATCATAGTGTTAGTACAGGAACATGAGGACATGACTGTGAAAATATTAACCTGATAAATGGTATTTCCTTGCTAAGTTGCCAGACTGCGAATGATCTACATGTTTTTTAACACAAAGAGATAAAAAGTCAGTTAAACCTCATATTGACAAGGTGAAGTAGCAAGTGTTGGTCATATGTATTGAACAGGTTGATAGACAATTTCTTAACCTTATTATTTTCCACAAATGATTTAAGAAATATATATGTCTGATATACCTTCAGCAATATATTAAAGAACAAACCCTGAAAAAAGTACCATGGGTTTAAGGGTGACTATTTTAATTCATTGTTCCAATGAAGTTCACGTGGTGCTTAAATTTAGTAGAAAATAAAATGAGAAATGAAAAATTTCTTCCAAAAAAAAGAGAGGTTCGTAAGCCAATGACTAGTTGAAGGTTAAGTACAACACCTGCCAGGAGTGCTTCTGCGTTTACTGTATTTGCTTATATGTGAGCTTTTCCACAGAATTATTGAATAGACTAAAGGAAGAAATGAGGCCAGAAAATATTTTTTTTTTTAATCTGGTTTGGCAGTTCTTAGGTTTCTATGTTCTTTAATGGCATGGTAAGTAACCTTAGATGACAAATAAACCTGTTTGCTACTCACTTTTCTAAGGTACAGAAAAATTTAATAGCTACTCTTTTTCTGTGGCATATTTAAATGTAGGAGGTTGACAAAAATAGTACTTTCTCTGTGTGGCAAAGCATAGTATGCCCTGGAAGGAAAACCTGCAGCTATCGGTATTTCTGCTGCTGGCTTTAGTGGATCTGTGAACATAACTTCCACTTTTCCTCCCTCTCACCACAGAACACAAGCTCAGGTAACTCAAAATGCACAAATATATTGCACTGGTTGATGTGCAATAATGATGTCTTCCATAATACTCTCATGTTTCATGTCATGTAGCTTGCTATTCAACTTCTTTATGGTATTTAACACCAATCAAGTGACACTTGATGTTGACAGAAGCAGTTGATTCATGCTGGGGGCATTGCTTTAATTCTGCATTGTATTGCCTTAAATTACCATCTAAAATTCATTATTTTAGACAATATACATTGTCTTTTGGCATCAAAATAAGGCATGGCAGAACTACTAAAAAGTATCCATCAGCTTTTCTACAAGAGGTATACCACTATTACATTCATTACTAAAATGAATTATATTTTCCTCTTGTCCTCTGCCAGCTGTGTAATAGCTGTCTTGTGTTGTACCAGAGATCTGATTCCAGTTGAGGGCAGTTAGTGCTCGATTGCATTAACTGTCTTTGACACTGACTTTGTAATAAGCAGCAAAGGAAATCCTGACAATTTAAACAGCATTAGGATGGAAAAAAATATTGTTTACGAAAGCTCAGATCTAAAAGTGAAGCAAAGTGGATCATCACTTCTGGGTTTAGTATTTGACAGAAAAAAAGTCTGCCTCAGTAGGCACTTGTGAAATATATCATCAAGACTACTGCTAGGGCTTAAGCACATACCTTTTGAAGCATTCAGTAGTCTATCCAATATTGCAGGAAGAATTACTGTATGCCTTTGATTTCACAAACGTCTGTCCAGTGTCTGCTGCCTTTTTCAAGCTGCTCTTTAAAGTCATCTATATGGCGAATCACTCTCCATCCTTAAAGAAGTATGTCCATGCTTATCATAACCTCTCTTCAACATTTAATAAAGTTTATCACCCTTCCCTGCTGTTACATCTTAAAGAAAATACAAGGAGCAAACAAGTTCCTAAAATGCTTTATCTGGCTTTTCTCTAAGATAAAATCCAAAAAACCATGTGGAAGATCTGGTAAAATGACAAAACCTGATATGTCACAAATATGTGGATAGTTATCTCCTGCCTCTGCTTCGTATCAAATAGAAAACTCTATTCCTGTCAAAGGGATAACTCTATTCACAGCTTCCTAAATGCTTGCCTGAAAGCAGTAATTGCATGAAGAATGTCCTGAACTCAAAAATTATTAAGTTCATTTGTTAATTGTGTCCCCCCCATGTTAATTATAGGGGGAAAAAAATTTCCTTGAAGAGTATATCATCACCAGAATATACTCCACATTTGGGATCCCACCTGACATTAATTTTCTGAAGTCTTGGGCCCTCTGAGCTTTTCATTGTTTTAGGATGCCTATTTCTGACTGTATTTGTCCAGAGAGTATAGCCTTCTTGTCAGAAGAGCTGCCTAGAAGTTACTGACTTCCTGACTTAGTCATCACTTGAAAATTCATTAGGTTTACAGGCATAAGTATACACCATGGAAGAACTTCTGCTGTAACAGAACTCAATATTATATCTGATTAAACATAGAGAATATTTTTATTATTTCTATAGTTACAATCTGAACAAAATTAAGCTACTATTCTGGAAAGGAACCATAGAGATCCTACACTAGCTTGGGCTTTTTACTTGATTATGACTTCATTTTTTATCTGCTTTCACTACATAAAGAAAAGAATTTAAAAACCAGATAACTGTTTTTCTAAAAAAAATATAGCATTTGGGAGGTATGCATTATAATAAAAGAAGCGTCTTAAGCAAACTATCAGGAGTATCATTCAACCATAAATGGAAATAAAATATCATATAAATTATAACTTGGGAATCTTTTATCTTGCATAGGACAAACCTGTTGTCAAAGAACAAAATGTTCCCAAGCTCATTTCAGTTTCTTTTATGATGTAAAATTCTCTTTCAAGATATATGAGGTGTGGGAAATCATATATCCGAGTCTTTTTTCAGAAGCATGTTCAACAATGGAAATGCACACATCATGTTCACTTCAGCATTAATACCTTTTAAATTCTTGTTCATACTGCAGTCTCTTTTGTTCCTTGAGATCATTCCCAGATATTTTTCAAGTTAATCTTAAAAAATTGGTTCCATCTTGGCAGATAAGTGTTCCTTGTTCTCTTGTGTAGGTATTTTTCAAAACATGTCTTGAGCTACTGTAGTTGTTATTGCTTAGCCTTTGTGGAAAATATATCACATACTGGAAATTAACCTGAACATTTGGATTATCATCATCTTAAACTGTGTTTTTATATGTACTTTTAAGATAACTGCCTCAGAGATTTTTCATAATCTAAAAAGCAAAACTGTCTGATTTTCATGCTTGCTGTAATAGTGGAGAAGAAAAACAACATGACTGCTCTGTTCAGTGATTGGACATGACCTGGAAAATTCCTTGTTCAGTTAAAAAAACCCCAGAGTTTACTCTTGAGTGAAGTTCTTAATTGTTTATAGTCTCATCTTGTGAGCTGGTAGCAAGATAAGTCAGAAGCAGGTGTACCCAAGTAAAAATACTTCGAGGTGATGTACACATGGTATTAATAGGAATGAGACTCTCATCGCAAACGAAGTATACTTGCAGATGGTGCTGAAAAATTGTTTCCTCCTAACCTCATAAGTATCAGCTAAGACCAATTTCACCTAATGAAGTCTGCTATTTAAGTATTTTACTAATATACAGGGTAAAATTCCTTTAAACATAGACATGCATCAGGCTGACATAAAATAGTAACTTTAGATCGAAAAGATTCTATATATTATGCAAAAAGGTATAAAAAATTTCCCTATCCCTTACTCTTCTCTTTTATTCCTTGGAACATTTTTGGTTCTTTTTAACTTAGAAATCTCATTTGCTCATGTAGCACTGCCTTTAGATTTTATGCTCCATTGTAATTTAGCTGTTGCAGTGGTAGCTCGCATTTCTTTTGTATACCCAAGAGAGAAAAGTGCACTGGAAAAGCCTCCTCAATTGTCATAGAAAGCTCCATATTTTTATATTTCACAAATATTTTAAAACAGACTAAAGAACATTTTGAAATTGCAGTGGACACTTTTCCCTAGTTTATCTAATGTTAATAAAGTTAGATATTCTGCAAAGAGAGTAATTTTATTTGAACCTGTCACATATTTTCAAATAATTTGATAGACTAACTTGGGCACTTAGATGGGACAACAGATGAGCTCAAAGTAAACAGTATAGAACCAATTACAAGCTTCCAAATAAGATTTGAGATTTGCTTTCTTCTTAGTTTCAAAACAAAATACTCTTTCCTTATTCTTTCTGAACCTTCTCAGGAATCTGGGAACACAGTGTGGTTCTATTCTAAAGGGGCTAAATCATTCTCATTTTGAAAGGCATGTGTGTATCAGAGGTATATCGGAGTAATGATCATGGCCAAAAGGGAATTTTTTTTATCTGTTGCTAATAGTGATGCCAGTTGTTCTTGTTTCTTCCTCTTTCCTCTCAATTTTCTTTCTTCTCCTTCAAAAAAATAGGAAAGTGTGGTGAATATAAATTTATTTATATATTTATATTTGTAAATATATTTATATTTATAAATAAATCTTGAATGCAATGCCCCTTTGTTAGTAAGGTGTTCTAAAGAAACAGATTATGTAATTACCCGATGTTCAGATAAGTAAGCACTGCATTCACACTCTCAATCAGTGCTGTCAAGTATGAAAGGCAATGTCTGTTTTAGTGTAATACCTATATTTAACTTAGGACATCCAAGAAAGGAAGCAACCACATTTCAGTTCATAGGTAAAGTCTAATCCTAATGTGCACATCAAGGCAGTCCTTGCCAGTAATAAATAGGAATTTGCTATTTGACTTTTGATTGGAGGTTGCTGTGTCACCAGTAGTAGTTTAAGGAAACTAATTTTTCTACTAACCACTAAAAGGAATACAATATGAAAGAAATAATTAATAGTGGGAGAACCAAGAAAGTGGCAAAGACATGAAAAGCAATGAATGAGGTAGGAATACACTTTTTCACTTACTTTTTTCCTATTGATAACCAAAATGGAAGAAGACAATTGTCACAACTGCTTGAAAAGAACAATACCAGTAAAAAAGTAAAATTAAGATTCCCCAAATTTTTTAGAAGTGTTTAAAAGTTAAATAGCTCAAAAATAATGTAAGGTACTGGAACAAGCAAAATTTGAGACAAACCATGATGAAATTTCTTTAACGTCTCTGGGCAGGTTCATTATGGACCACCTAAATATAGTTCGCAGTTTTTCAGTCTAGTTACCAAGTCAGGAATACTTTTTTTTGCACAAGTCTGTTTTATCTTTGCTCCATCTTCCTCTAAGCCTGTAGCTTCAACTAACATCTCCCAGGCTCTTGACTGTCCAGCATCCAAAACTCCTGGGGCTTACAAATTCCATAACTTCAGACCCAGCCTCATCAGACAGATTGTGCCAGGGCAGGGACTACTTTCCTTTTCTCAGGGAATTTTGAAATGACTGGTATTTGTTCTGAACTGGGGAGGAGCATCTAGTTAACCACAGGCATCCAGCTTGCATTCCAGAACTGGGAATTTATCTGGTGGGTTTGATTCATTGTCCTTATTTGCACCTGCGACTTTATATTATATTAATTTCCATCTATGTTTTGTTTGCACCTGTGCAGAATGGCTATGAAATGCTGTCATTCTGGTTTGGTAGCAGTTTAGTTTTTTCATCATGTTTCTCTACCTGCAGGGTAAGGCTTTGTGGAAGCAGAATTAGTGTGCTTAATAAATGAGCTGTCCTAAGTTCAGCACTCTATAATTATTGTCTAAAAGTTGACCAGATGAAAAGTACTTCACAAATACAAACTTGCTCCTAACAAAATATCTGAATATTGCACATGATTACTAAAAAGCCAAAACACATTAAATAGTGGATATTTTTATTTTCAGATTAACAGAGCAAAACTTCCTTACTGGAAAATGACCCTGCTAAATGTCTGCAATCTTGTCAACAACCTAAACAACCAAGTGGGAGAGACAGTAGAGGTAGATGAAGAGGATCTCGTTTCAGGAAGACAGCTTCCCTCTCCTCTGGATGGCTTCAGCTTGGAAGCAATGCTGACAGTATATCAACTCCAAAAATTTTGCCACAGCCGAGCCTTTCAGCATTGGGAGGTAAAAAAACCTGTCACAAATGCATGTTTTAGATTCTGTTAAACTCTCTGGCTTTATTTTTAGTGGTGTAAAATCCATATCCATTTGACCTCCATCACATTGTCTGAGCTTTCCTTCCCTTTTTTATATTCTCTAATACCTCTAATATGCCTCTTTTAATAGAGATGAGAATTAGTGCAGTTTCTGATGAGCTGAGTGTATGTTTCTTATAACAACTCATGGATAAATGAGAAGTTTTCTTAGCTGGATACTTTCTCCGTTCTTTGTAGCCATTCCAAATAACCAAACAAACACATGAAAGTAATCTCTGTGCCAGAATACATAATTAATATCTGCTTAACAGTTGTGAAGTTACTCACATTTATTGAGGCATAAATGAATGCAGTCAGTATTTTTGTTTTAAGACCCTAAGGCAAACTGGATTCAAAATGCATGGACACAGGCCCATGTGTACATACCATTTTGCTTGGTACTCTGGGTTTCATATCAGTGCTAGGAAACTGGCAGCAAGGTAACTCGTGCTTTTTGTTTCCCTGCACCTAAAGAGGGCCCTGGAAGTTGACATTGTGACTCTATGAAAATTACTGCTCTTAAATAGGGATTGTTTGTAGTCCATTTGTGATATTTGTTGTAGTGCAACGATCACACAGAAGCACACTAGGCACAATCCCCTTGTGTCGTTAAATAATACACTAAAAGCTGCTTTGTGTAGCTAAAAAAGATATCTCAGTGTCACCACTTACTTTCCAGTAAACCAGATTTCTTCAGCTATCTCAGCTTCACAGACAGTCTTATGGAGGAAGCTCTGTATATAATAGGTTTATTCTAAATCCTCATATTTGCTGAGACAATTCATACAAAAGACTGCAACATCTTTGAGAACTCCCAAATAAAACTAAAAATGCAATTATATATACAAGTTCGATTTGCAAAATTTTGACTTCTTGTGCTTTATTTAATTTCTAATTTGTTTATTACACATTTTGATTTTTTGGCTGTAGAAAGTTGCAGATTAAAATATTGCTCAAAAGCTGAAACCAGAAAGGAGTGCAGGTGTTTAGCCTAAATGAGTGACTACAGACTGACAATCATTAGGAAGTTTTCAGTAAATTTGAGTTTTAGTGCAAGGAGGATATGCTAGCTTTTCTCTCTAGTCAAAACCAGTGATCTCATTTGTTTCAGTGGAATTTAAATATCATCTCTGTCGGGCTCAGCTGATCTTTAGCCTGATCTTAGGTTTGTGTCTTGAGTTTTGTCTTTTTTTTTTTTTTAACCCTGCAACTATTGTAGTAAAGATTTTTTTTGGTGGCATATGTAAAGTATTTTTTAAAAATTTCTAGGAACTTATAATCTTCATTACCAAAAAAAGCTGATAACATTGTGTCTCTTCTTGCATCCTACAGTTACTTCAGCAAGATGCTTTTGATCTAGAGAACTCAAGCCAAGAAAAAGAAATAATGAAGAGAAAAAATCCCTATATTCTGAAACGGCAGCTACATGTGAACAAAGCTAGAAGACCATACATACTCAAGAGAAGTTCATATTACTGATGCAGCAGAAGAAAACAATGTATATTTAGTTTATAGGTAACTGTGTATTATGGTTATCTTATCTAAATCTAAAATCATACTTGTGTGAAAATATACTCTGGAAAATCAAGATGATAACATAGCTGTGTCTTTTTTGCAATTGCTGTTTCTCGATTGTGAATTTTTCCTACTTGAGATTAATTGGACTAATACATTTGCAAATAAAACTAGTTTTTAAGCATGATGTATTGTACAAAACTGAGATTTCAACATACTTACAATAATCTTGTAGTCTTCTCCAATGTTATAAAGAACACCAACATAACACCAAGGAAATTGATATTGACCATAAATCCTACTGAGAATCTTACAATTTCTTAATGCAACATGTCAAACGTATATATGCTTGCAATTTTTTTATAATATGCTAGTAAGAACTGCCACAGTATTTTATGTATTAGCCATTAATTTATTAGGGAATAGGTCTAAGGAAGGAAGGGAATACTATCAACTAACTGTTAAATGGCAACTTCAAAATTAATATTTTAAATAGTCTGTTTGTAAATGAATTTTAAGTTCTTGACTTCTAATTGCCACTAAAGACTAATTATTTAGGAAAACAACACATAATGAGACTTTTAAAAAGTATGCTAGTGAAAACAAACCTAGATGTGCTTCAGAGTCTTGTATATCACTAACTAAATAATTTATTAAATCACTAAAAGAATTTACAGTGTTTACCTAATCTACGCATGCTCAGGAAAAAAAAAAAAAGACAAAAGCCAATTCATGTCCCAGTGTTGTCACTGTTAAAAATCAAAATAGTAATCTGATTATATGAGAAAAGATGAGTTGAAATTAGAACATCTTAAAGTTGCAATTAAAAGGTATTTGCTTTCCTTACCTCTACAATTTTGTAATAATAGTCAATGTCAAGGTTTAAGACAGTCTTGGAGGCTAATTGAGAGGGAAGTTCACAGAATGGGAAAAATTGTTTTCAAGCGCAAGGAATCAATTTCCACCTGAAAGTTACACATTTTCCAGCTCTGTGGTGTGTGCTAAAGATTTGGGATCTCAATGATTCTGAGTTCCAGTCTGGAGGAAAACTGCTTCCTGGCTGAAGTATTGCTTCAGCCTGCTTCCTGGCTGAAGTATTTTCTCAAAGCAATTCTGCAAAAACAAACAGATAAATAACCCCCCCGAACTACCCCCTAAACCCAACCATTTAAAAAAAACCAAAAAACAAAACCACCCTCCCCCCTCCAAAAAAAAAAAAAAAAAAAAACCAGACCCAAAATCAAAAACCAAAAACTCTGAGAATTTCCAAATCCTCTCACAGATTAGATTTTCTGCCAATTATTATTAAACATATACAGGGATATGCATAGAAAGAACATACCCAATACCAATGGTTATACCAACTTTGTTACACGGGGAGGGATGGTTTTTTTGCAGTAAAATTTATTTTCACTGTATTAAAACTAGTTATGTTTCCTTTTCTCAGTGCAAATGTTATTAATCAGTTTATTCATTCAATAACCATTAAATATGTGCACTGACAAGATATAACTGAGCATACACTAATTATTGTAATAATCACTATGACTCGAATACACCAAAGCACTTAAGCACATTCAGTCTCAGTATTTTAAATGCTAAATGCTTTTCAGGACTTTGCTTAAATAAGGTTCTAGTAAACTCATACCCTTCACTTTTTTCACAAAACTATAATATAATTAGACTGGAAACCCAGTATGGTCTCAAGTGGCTAACATTCTCTTTCCAACAGACCTATAAGATCCCTAGTCCTATTGTGGTTATTTTACATTCTGAATTATCTTTTGGTCTGAAATTACAAAGCGGAACAGAGGTTGTTCCAAAATTCACTGCTAGCAGTATATAAGGAAAAAAATAAAAAGAGACTTCAGATTGTTTTTTCATGAGAAACACAGAAGAATAAGACAAAAATATAGGTTGCCATTATATTTTTCTCTCATGCTCAGTGTAAGAGTATAAGAGTTAAGAAAAAAAAAAGTAAGGTAAAGTAATATGGTCTTCATATCTTCAGTGTACACTTTTAAAAAACAAAACCACCCTTCCATGTTTCATTTTAGAGGTGATTTAGATATTCAGGGTGATGGCAGAGGACCTCAAATGATGATATTAACTGTTTCACCCTCATCTAGTGCTCCACACTCAAGTTGGACTTACCTTGTGACTGTGTACTTGATCCCTGAAGTGCAGAGCTAACAGATTAGTCAGACTGGCTGAAAATGGCTTTAAATAACCCATTTCCTTTCAGCAGACTGTGAATCCACACACAGCCAGCTATTATGTGTCACTGGAGGAGGCAGAGGCTAAAGCATGTCAGGAAAGTACATCTTGTCAGGTGTGCCTAGTCTCTGATGGAGGTGTCCAGGGACCTGTCAGAGGAATGGCATTCAGAGTGGCAGTCTGAACTAGATAAGGAAACAAAATCTATAATTGTAACATGGTCAGTTAAGCTACAAAAGTCAATGGTGGCAATTCAGCTTTTTGGTCACTCATGAAAAGCAAGCATAGCAACATTAAAATATTAGAAAACACACTTAAACCATAGAATTAAGCCAGGTGCACAGAGCTGTTAAACGAAATTTTGAAGTCTGGGAGACCTTTATTTGCTTCAAATCTCTCACTTCCTCCACATCAGGAGGAAGCAACAGCTTTCTTCTGATGACCTCTCTGCAGTGGAATTGCAGCTTTCCTTTAGCCTTCACTTTTGGATGGTGGCAGCAAAACAAACAAACAAACAAACAAACAAGAAAGGCATGCTTACGCATATTTTTCTCTATTTTGCACATCTTTCAGTGAGAACCTCAGGGTGCTTACCTTGTCCCTAGCTGTGCATTGGCTGCAAAATCAATGCTGTATTTGCTGCAGCAATGAGTGCTGAATGAAGTTCAAGTAAGAAGAGGGTCTCACAGTATGTAAAGCTATTAATTCAGAAACTCAGACAACTTCTTTTTTATCCGTTCCCTTCCCCTTCCCCTTTTTTTCCTGAAGCTCATAATTCCCTTAAGTTTAAAAATGTTATTTTGAAGAACATTAATTCAGATTACAGCCTTGGCTTAAAGAATGATATAGGAAATTTTGTTTTATAAAGGCAATTATTGAGAGATGTTCTGTCTTTCTCCATCTTTTCAGAGGAGCACATTATTCCTACATATTCAGTTGTTAATTTTTTTATGAAGGTCATAGATGAATAATTATACCAATTATTCAGAAACTTTATACTAAATTATTTCTTAACCTCCTAAAATATCTGATATAGTCATACAAAGCAATTGCAGAAACTTCTCAATACTTTCTAATGTATAATTAAGTATATCTGAGATTTACTTTGATTTTTTACATTTTTAAGGGTTCTAATCCATGATATTACAACTGCCCTATACAAGAAAATAAAACACAGAGAAATTAAAAATTTTATCACTTCTGATGCATATAGAAACGTTATAATAATTTCTATTATCGAGGTTAAATGTGGTGATAGAGTAAGTCTTCAGTTCCTGAGTCTTGCTTGTGGTATATTATAAATTTTGCTGTTTTCTGTCTTTTATAAATGTAAACTTTGTTCTATGTCTTAGGTAAGAATTTAATGGATGTACTGTGAACAAAGTAGATGAAATGTTGAGTTTTCAGATTAAGAGAAATTTAATTTTGCGATGTGTAATCATGACTGTGCCTCATACCGTATTCCTAGTGAGCACACATTGGACGCATAATTCGTTTGATCTTTTTTCTTTTTCCCCAAGATTAGTTATCAGTTTACACTATGGGGTGTCAAATTGAAAACACAAGCCACCACTATGATTGAGTTTTGGAGGGCAGAAAGAGAAGCAGATTCTTCTGAAATTCCCCAAGGTTCCAGACTGATCATTGATGTTCTCAATGTCCAAAATATTGGACTGACTGAAAGCAGTCAGAAAACTAGAGTTGCAGAGAACCTGCAAAATAAAGTCTACTGACTTGTGACATAGTGATAGAGTCAGAACGTGTATCTTGCTCTCCAGAAATCAAAAAAAGTGGAAGGGAGGAATTGACCTTCACAAGGAACCTGGGAAATGAAATTTTCATTGCTACCAAATCCAAGCATTCAGAATTTGTGAGTGAGGCTGCAAAAACTTGCAAATAGGTAAATAGATGACAGACAGATACATAGACAGATAAGGAAATAAATATTCCTGACTTCTAAATAAAGTAATAAACAGATGCCAAATAATTTTTATTTCTTTCCATTTACTGGACTTCCAGCGAGCATCTGAATCACATTTCTAAGCACTTCTATCAAGAGGTGCTAAAACACATTTGTTAATGTCTATTGCTACTGAAAATTGACATTCTCATCCAACCTCTTGAATCCAGCAGATGTCAGATTAAGACACACATAAAAGCATAATGTTCAGGATCAGATTTTAAAATTCAGATCCAGGATATATGGATGGGCCTGCCAGACCAAACAATCAGATGGTGGAATAGAAAGAGCTTTGTGGTACCTCATTAACTGGCAAGCTTTGACTGAATGACTTGTCTCAGGTGGCAATAGGGGAAAATGACATGCAACCCACCCAGGAACTTTGGGCTGAGTGTCAGCTATTAAGAAATATAAAGCCTTCAGTTTCTGAAGTTTTTGGGAACTCTTAGTTTCCCAAGTAAGACTTGCTTTGTCTGAGTAGATGAGAGTGTATAGCTGATGTCTCAGGGCATGCCTCACTTCTTTTATATAGAAGGAAAAGATGGGACTACACAAAACTGGACTTGAATTATCAAGGAATAGCATTTGTCTGTTTGAGTTCCCAGTGGGTCAAGTACCAGTCTTTTATTGTCACAAAAGTTACAGTGCACTATTAGTCTAGAACCATTTCCTATTTTATTCTTGAAAAGCAGTTGTAGGAATCTTTTGTAGGATACATTTCTCTTATGAATACATAAAGGGCTTCTCAGATTGTCTACACATTGCTTTAATAGATGAATGCCAGCAGCATGAAGACCTCTGTCCAGGTGCAGTGTCTTAAGCTGCTTAACAAAGTGTTAACATGGTGTGAGAATGAAAAAAAACAAAGTGTAACATGGTGTGAGAATGAAAAACTCCTGGGCTTGTACACCAGTGAAGCTGATGTTGAGGATAGACTGGGAACATCCTAAAAGGCAATCTTGACATCATTGTTGCAGCTTTTTCAGATTCCTTATTTAAAAATCCAAACC